GATGATATGCCCTGTAAACTTTCACTCAATCCACAATAAAAACCTTAAATTAAAAAAAAAAAAATGTATAACTGTTTTGTAATCACTAGATAAATTATTTCAAATAAATGAATGATATTCCAATCCATAAAATCAGACTCTAAAAAGAATGTAGTGTTCCACCTCCAGTCAAGGTAACAGAGTCATTTTTTAAATTATTATTAAAATAGATTATAGAAAGCAGTATCTATTTTATGCAGTTTTTAGGGACCTTGGAAATAAAAAGCTATGATTTCCAAAAATATAACATTCCAAAGGATTTAATAATACATAGATTTAAAGACACATTTTATTAAAGTTTAGGAGAACTGATTTAAAAAGATACTGTCTCTTTAAATTAGTGTGTAATTGTTTTTCTCCTCCTATCTATTCAGATATGAAAATAATTATAAATGTAGGTCACACTACAACTAGGTAGTCTCTAGGGACCACAACCTGTTGATACAAGGCTGATAACAAAGAGGCTTTCCATGTGAGGTGGTTCCCAGTTATGTGTCAGGTATCTGGGGAGAGGCCTAATAGTCCATTGACTTTAACATTTTACCTTCACCTTCACCTTCAACCTGAACTAAAACCACAGAGTGCTAATATTTAAATCAAGTTTTATTGTGAATTGAGTGATAGTTTACATGGGAGAACATCATTTTATTGCAATGATTACAATCTCCTCCATGCATCATCATTCAGCAGTATTTGCTTGTACTCTCTCTGTTTTTTGTTGTTATTTTTCTTTTTTGGATATACACAAAAACACTCAGGAATATATAACATTTAAACAACCAAAGGGCACATTCTGGCAAGCCTTCCTCCTGGCCATCAGCACACAGCCTTTCTCTTTCTATGAGCGTAGAGTCCTCAGCATCTCCCTCTCTCCATGTTCCTGTCTCTGCCTCCATCTCTGGTGTTGCTGCTTCTCTGGATAGGGTCTCACATTCCGCTCATGCTCTTCTCCCTTGATGGTCCTAGGGTCTTCTGTTCCTGGAATGTAAGATTAACTACTCCTCCTTTTTTGTTGCAGAACTTGTACCTTGACAGTTGTGACAATCACAATTAGTCATGATAACAACTACTCATTATTAAATCATAAGAATCTTATCCCCCTCTCCTTTCACCAGGCCTGTCTAGACAAGATGAAAAGTATTCAGTGGGGATTCTACCTTCCCCTGTACACTCTGAAACTACAAGTTAAATTAACTTTGTCATAAACTTTCTTTCTCTTTCCCTCACCCTTTATGCTCCAGCTTCTCCTCACCCAACCTCCACAGCTTTGAAACACCTCTTTCAAAGCAGAGCACAAAATGGAGCCTGAAGTATCAATAAGTCAATTCATGGTTTTTGTTTGTTTGTTTGTTTTTAACCCTTAAGTGAAGATGGTAGCAGCAGGAAGGGTTTTGTCTTTCATGGAATCCAAAGAAAATACAGTTGATCCTTTGGATAGCTTTCTCTAATGACTAATTAGCAAACACTAATGAGAAATAGGAACTGTCATTATTTTAATGTAAACCACTTCCTCACTGTACTTTTGAAAGCCACAGTCTGGTGGTAGAATTTTGACCATTTTGTGTGGATGTGTGTTAACATCTTTCCTTAAATTACTACTGTGTTCACCTACGTATGAGTCTAAACTGATAGTTTATGCATGCGTCCTTCTCTGCTTTTTTTTTTTTTTTTTTTTTTTTTGCTAATAGGATGTTAAGATTTTTTTCAGATCAAATTTTTATTTTTCTGATTTACTGTCAGTTACATGATGTAAGAAGACATTTTCCTTCTTTATATAAATTAATTCTTTCTTAATTCTTCCAAAATATTCCCTGAGTTCCATTCTTATTTCCCCCTATTTTTATTAAGCCCTGACTTTATTTTTAAAAAATCATAAAGTTATTGGGATGATTTGAGAGATAAGAGGTGTTGTTATTCTCAGTAAGCAGAAGCGAGTTGCAAAAAACAGTGAGTCATTAATGAGAAGCAAAACATCAGAGTCATCACATCACAAAGACACCAAAAACAGTCATGTTTATTTCAAAACATTAGGTTGACTATATATTAATAAATACTTTTAACAATGAATGTAGCAAAATTCTGTGCCTGTTGTAAGAAGATAATTTACTAAAGACTCAGAAGACGGTGAGTCCAGTGCTGGAAAGAGAGAAGCTGACAAAACCAGGAGGGATTTTCTTCCTGCTTGATTCAAATGGTTCTCCCTTGGTGACTCAATTAGCCAAAGAGGTTAGTAACCCAAATCCACTCAGAAGTGCCTTAAAAGAAAGACCTGGTAATCTACTTCTAAAAGATCACAGCCTTGAAAGCCTATGGAGCATCGTTCTACCCTGACACACATGTGGTCACGATGAGTTGGGGTTGACTTGTTGACAAATGGTTTGCTAGTTTTTCCTCACTGCAGTCTTAACACTTAAAATTGAGAATTGAAAAATAGACCTTCACACGCATATCTGCCATCTTTCTCAGTCTTGGAGAAGAATCACTAGTTAATGGGTAAGGTAAAAAATTGGAAACAAGTATGAAATTTGAATCTAGGTCAGATCACTATGGCTGACAATGGAGTCATGGACTCCTCAGAGCCCAAGAAGGAATTACTGTGGCTTATGCTTCAAATCTCAGGCACAGACCACAATATAATTCAATGGAGAGTTCAAGGCACGCCACAGGCTGGCAGCCACCACCACCATGAGATCTGCCTAGATTACAGTCCTTTCAGTACTATCTTTGTATAGATCCATCATCCAGTCATCTGGCCTGCAATCTAGCCCTTCACCCTCTAGAGTTTTGGGGACACATTCTCCAGCCAGCTGCCTAGGCACCACACCCATGGAGAGAAACCATTTGACTATGTTTTCCCTAAATATGCAAATAAAATGAAATCTCACTGATTTGGGGTCTCCTCTCTTAGTGACAATAAACAGTAAAGAAATGCTTCCAAATAGGACAAAGAGAAATCTCCTTCAAATCAATCTCATTGTAAGTGGTACATGGAGCCCTCAATGGTGTCCGGGCATGGAAAAGGACCCTTGCTACTCCTGGCTGCCTGAGGTCTTTTTCTCAGAAGACAGGGCTCTTCTGATTATAATATGGGACCAAAAGCTTAATTCTAAATACCATTACTTCAGTGCTGGATATCATAAAGTTTCTGGGTAGAATGAGGAAGGGAGAAGAGGGCTCTCCCTTTTGTTACTTGATCTTCTGACCAAGAGCAAGTAGAAGATGGTTAAAGAGAACAAAAGAGGTCTAATCATTTTAGTTCAGATTTGTAATGTGGCTTGGAAGGGAAGAGCCCCATCACTAGTAGCACCAATATAGCCAGACAGGTTTATATCAAGGGCTGTTAATCTCTGCTGAAAAACCAAAGGCAATAAACTAGCCAATACCATGACAAGATTGAAAATGTAATCTGACACATTTGGAGATGGCTGAAAGCCAAAATTTAGCCAAGGAAGGACCCCAACAGGATATCTGGAGGCAGGTTATCCTCCAAGGGTATTAGAATCACAGGGCATTTTGGGTTTTTTTAAGTAGGAAGAACCTCAGAGCTCTTCTAACTGCATTTTCCAAGAAGTTCCAGAGGCCTGGAGAGAGTGAGGAGTCTACCCTGATCACACAGCTTGCTATATCTGCTTGGGGCACCTGGGGAGGGTCAACTATGAACAATGCTATGCAGGTGAATATCAAGCATGTGGCTAATTGCATTCAGAATCCCCTACATAAAACAACTTCCCACCCTTGGGCCCTTTCTCAATGATTTGTCCCAGAAGTGGACCGCTGCTGGCTGTGGAGTTAAGCTCAGGTGTGCCCTCACTTCCCCGTTCGGGAGACTGCCTGGATGGCTTTGATCCAATCGGTGCGCTCCTTGGGGGTGGCTGCTTGTAAGAAGTAATGCACTTCATCCGCAGTGATGATCTCAAAAAGGTTCTCCTCATCACTCTTCCTACCTGTTGAGAGAGACAGTGCATGATATAAATCAGGCTATATTGGTGCTACTACTAGTGGTGGGCCTCTTCCCTTCCAGCCCACATTGTAAATCTGTACTAAAATGATTAGACCTCTTTTGTTCCCTTTAACCATCTTCCACTTGCTCTTGGTTATAAGGTTGAGTAGCAAAATGAAGCGGAGGCCCCCTGGTCCACCCTCTCTCAGCAACTAACAAAATCCTGGCTTAATGAGTATATGGATTTAAAAACACATACAGTATGATTTTATTTATATAAAGGAGGAAACCAAACAAAACTACTCAGTACTGTTAAAATGCCAGGAGGAGAGGTAGTGACTAAGAAGATGTTTCAGGATTGGACATATTCCATGTCTTGATCTTCTAGGCCTGGTAATACAAGTATGTGTTCACTTTGTACACGTTCATGAAGATGTACTGTTAGAACATATACAAATTTCTGTGTGTATATTGCACTTTGATAAAAAGAAAAAGAAGGTAATAGAGAAAAAAATTATGTGGTTTTCAATACAGATTGCCAGCCCATTGCTCAACAGGGTCTGATCATATCTATTTTATACAGTGTATACTATATATATATATATATTAATATAGATGATGTTGTTGTTAAGTGCTGTCAAGTCGATTCCGACCCATAGCAGCCCTGTACAGGGTTTCTGAGGCTATAAATCTTTACAGGAACAGAAATCCTCATCTTTCTCCCACGGAACCTCTGGTAGTTTCAAACTGCTGACCTTGAGATTAGCAGCCCAATTCGTAACCATTATACTACCAGAGCTCCTTATTCATATAGATAGCTAGTATGATCTTATATATGTATACTTATGTACATACAGGGAGTACAGTGGCCCTGTATGATAAGCATTGGACTGTGGACTACAAGGTTGGCGGTTTGAGCCCACCAGCTGCTCTATCTATATGAGAACGATGAGGCTTTCTGCACCCCAAAGGATGTACACTCTTGGAAACCCTATACAGGGTCGTTATGAGTCAAAACGGACTCGATGGCATTTAACAACAACAACAACAATAGACATATATTTTTTTTTTCAAGAAATTAAGTAAAACCCTCAAATAGAAATTATCTCTTTTCATAGTTTATAAGCTAAACACACTAGTCACCTTTACACATTTATAGTGTTTAATAAAGTAACCCCCTTCTTTCTCTGCTAATCTAAACCAAGAGCTAGCCCTAAAATATTAGGGTGGGGTAGGGGGAAAGCACAGATCCACCAACCAGGACCATCAGTATAGCCTGAATTTTTTTCTATAAGGGGCTAAGTCTCTATTGAAAAATAAAAGGCAATATGCTAGCCAGTACCTTGATAAAACTTAAACATTCGTTTCAAATGCTCCCTTTCCCAAAGCAAAAAGATAATCGTTTTGGGGGGAAAGGACATGGACAGAGTCAAGGGAAGGAAAACTCTAGGCTTTTGCAGCTATAGTGTTTTCCTATCAGCCTATAGAACACCGTACACCCAATGTAGTATGACAGAACCAGCGTTTGGGATGTCTAAACCATATTGTCCCAGTGATACTTGTCACCTGCACTTGAAAAGTCAGTCTTCATAAACCTGGTTATTCCCCGCACCAGATCATAGACTTGTGCTCTGGAAGGGACTCCAAGGTCCTCTAGTATATGAAGAGGAATGAAGACCCAGAGAAGTCAGGTGATTTGCTCCACGTTGTGAAGCTAAGTTACTAACATAGACCCAGCTCTAACCCAGGTGCTCGTTCCAGTCACCAAACTGCCTCACTGAACCAATGTTCCTTTTGGCCTAGGTATGTAAGTTGTTGTTGTTATGTGCTGTGGATTCAGTTCGACTCACAGCAGCCCTGTACAGGGTTTCCAAGGCTGTAAATCTTTACCGGAGCAGAAAGCCTCATCTTTCTCCCGCGGAACAGCTGGTAGTTTCGAACTGCTGACCCTGAGGTTCTCAGTCTGATTTGTAACCACTACGCTACCAGAGCTCCCTAGGTATGTAAGAGATCTCCTTTAAAGACTGCAGTTCAAGTACAGAAGTCAGGAGACAGCAAGCTCTCCATCTAAACCAGTTCTAAAGAGATGGGTTTTTCCCAGCATTACTCAAAGACCTACTCAAGGCATCTACAAAGCCACTCCAACACCCCAAGGCCTGAAGAGCCAGAAATCAGTAGACAATTGCTTTTGTTACCTCCAAGGTTTTCAGACAGTAAAGTTATTCACACTGATACCAGACTGACTGCTGTTGGCTCAGGTGGCCTATGTGCAAAAGAAAGTCAAGGCCTCTCACATAGGAATGCATCCTTACCATCAGTGTTGCTCTCTACTGAAGTCACCACACAGCCTCTCAAATGAATTGTTCCCAAAGGATCTTCCCCCTAAAGGAGAGAGGGTTGTACCTCATGTTTGCATAGCACAGTGTATGGTAATACTTCACCCTGTTGGTGTAGAAATCACACAGACCCACTCTGGTACAGATTCCCAACTCAAATCCACAGCCATCAAGTCTATTCCAACCCATAGTGACACTATATCGGATTCCTGAGACTTTAAATCTTAACTGGAGCAGTAAAGGAGGGGCTAATAGGTAGAGAGTATTGTTTAAAGTGCCGTCAAGTCATTTCTACCTCATAGCAACCCTATATAGAAGGTTTCCAAGGAGTGGCTGGTGAGCTTGAACTGCTGACCTTGCAGTTCAAACTGACCTTGAAGTCCAGTGCTTTACTGCCCCCAAAATGAATAAATAAGAAAAGGAGATGAAAGGAAACCTGTTCTAAATCTATGGTCCTTTCCAGATCCCGAATCCTCTACTTTAGTAGGTTTGGGGAAGAAGAATGAAAAGACTCAAGCTAATCTGGCTTCAAGTCTTCCGGAAATGGCTGGGGAGGTGGACAGGGTGTGGTCTCCATGTCTCACTATTCCATTAAAGAAGAAGTACAGATTTTCAGAGCTCCTCACAGCCAACTGATCTAGTGACATAATCCTCACAGGAGACAATCAAAGAACCCTATACTATGACGAAAGCACAGAACTGTCTTTACAGAGTTGTCTTATTTTGTTGGGGGAAATCCTGCTCCTACATAATTAAAACCCAAGTTGTAGGTTGAAGCAGTGTTCTCATCCAAGTTGGCCTGGAAGAAACACTAAACACTTTTTTGCATATGAAACAAGAGTAAATGTTAAAAGTATATAGTTTGCCCCTGAGAAGATCAGATGGGGCAAACAAACAAAAACAACTGTATTGCATTGACCAAATAAATTACTATACAGTGATGTTTTCCTTCATACCTGAGCTTATGTTGGTCTTAAAGACCTAAGATCTCAGCTCATGGCAATGAGAGTAGATGGTAGTGGTGGTGATATGTTGTGGAGTCAGTTCTGACTCACCGGGAACCTGCATAGGGTTTCTAAGGCTGTAAATCTTTACAGGAACAGAAAGTCTCACCTTTCTCCCACGAAGCAGCTGGTAGATTTTATCTACTGACCTTGCGGTTAGCCGCCCAACTCATAACCCACTACACTACCTGAGTTGCTTAAAACGGAGTAGAGGAGAAAAGACTTAAGAAGTAGAAGGTAGAGAGAAGAAGGTGGAAGAGGGATGGGTAGCCCAGCTAATACATGTAGTGGCGGCTTCTAGTTGAATCAATTTGTTGATCACAGAATCTCACCCCAGCAGGGTCATAGTAGTGCAGGTAGGCGGGGTCTTCTCTCAGAACGAACTTCCTCACTTTCCAGTTTTTCCTCCTATGCCCCTGCATTCAGGATCAACAAAAGGAAAGATAAGTTCCTGGCATCATTTGGCATGTATAATAGCTACGTAATATTCTTTGCTGAATTGAAAAGAGAAATAAAAGGTAAAATATAACTCCAGAAAAATCAAGCTCCAATGGAAGCTGCTAACTGAAAGATCTGAGATTTGAGTCTACCCAGACACAACTCCAAACAAAGACCTGGTACTCTTCTTTTGGAGTCCTGGTGTGGCACTGTGGGTTAATGCACCAGACTGCAAAGCCATGTTTTGAAAACTGCAAGGTTGGCGGTTCAAGCTCACCAGTCACTCCTTGGAAACCCTATACAGGTTGCTATGAGTCGGAATCAACTCAACGGCACATAACAACAACAACAACTCTTCTGAAAAAAATCAGTCACTGAAAACCCTATGGAGTGCAATTCTACTCTGACATACATGGGATCGCCTTGAATCAGAAACAACTTGACAGCCACAGGTTACTGGTTACTGGGTAGGTACAAGGTTCTATATGAGGTAATGTGAGGAATACAAAGACATGCCCCGCTCTTCAAAGAGTTTGTAATCAATGTGCAAATATAATAGAGCAAATGTCAAAATCAAATAATTGGCATAGACAAGGAGTTTCAAAGGAATTAACTGAGGGATATGCAATTATGGGCTTCACTTGTGGGAGACCTCCTCTAATTCATGTGGGAGATTGAGCAGGGAAGACGATAACTAAAAAGCAATGTGTAAGGCAAATTCAGGCATTGATTTAAAAAAATAAAAAATAAAAGACTCGTTTTCCCAGAATGTGAGGCTAATGAGCAGCAGAGCAAGGTTGGGAAAGGTCACAGGGGCTTAGTAAAAATGTAAGGTGGCGTGAAATGCTGATTGCTCTTGAGTAGGGTGTGGTATTGATTCATTTCGATAGTCATATGTGTGAGAAAGTTTCAAGATGGTCCATCTTCAGGAATAAAGGGCACAGGAGATGGCTAGACCAGACATAGTTTGTTGATTTATACCCAGGGGTATGTGATGAAGAATGAATTGGGGGAGGGGAGAAAGAAATCTGTTCTAGGACTAGAAACTTTAAATAAGAACATAGTCATTAAGGCCAGGGGTGCCATCCAGGCTAGACTGTGAATCCCCTACTCTCAAAACAGGAGTATAAAACTCTTTGTGAACTGGTCTTAGGGCACATCTGCCCGTGTCTACTGAGTTGGGTGCCCAATTTTGCAAAAACAAATAAAGAAAACCTCACTCTTACTAAAATGAGTACAGATTGGATTTCTAGAGCATTTGTCAATAAGCACTTGTGATAACTCATCGGTGACCTCATAACCAAGAGGAACCAAGGCAGTATCCGAGGTATCAATGTTTCTTATAATATGGTAGCAATGTTCAGGATTAACCAGCTGACTAGAGAAAAGGAAAGGCAGGTCATTAGGGAATGATTACAGCCATCCAGGCATAAAACTACCAGAAACTAATCTCAGGGAGCAGCAATGGGAATGGAAGAAATAGTGGTTGTGGCAGATATGATAAAGAACAATAGGACTTGGCTTTTCCCAGTAGCATTCAACACTGACATCACCTAGACAGGGAGTGTGGAGGGCAGACTTTGGGTCTTATTTTCCTTTGTTTCTTCAGTGCCCTGCACTGTGTCTGGCACCTGGGAGCTACTTAATATCTATGTGTAAATGCCTTGAGTGACCTACTCATTTTAATTCTTCTTATAGTACTTTTAAAAAATGGCACAAGCCTGATTCTATGATTTTTCCACGAACAATTCAAATAACTTAAATAACTCCAGAAATAAAACAAACAAATTATTAGACTAGAAGACATACAGTTCCTATCTTGTCTGTAGGTAGATTATTATTTATAGTTTTTAAACTTCCATCTATTAACAAGCACATACACAAATTTTCCATTATTTTTCATTGCACTTGTCTAGAAAACAATGAAAACCCATGATCTTAACAAACAGCATCCTCTTCATAATGCCAAGTCAGAGGGGTTTAAAGGAAGCTCTCAACAATGGTCATAAATTATCTTGACAAGCATTTGGACATTTCCAAAGAATCACTTATATGCTTAAAGAATGGAGCCATTCTTGCAGAGACATATGGCAGGAAAAAATCCTTAAAGTTTACTGTATCATGTCTAAAAGGGTGACTTCCTGCTCTTTGCCTGGGCTAATGTCGCCCATAAAATGGAAACACTAAGGTTTTCACCCCACATCATTTCCTCCTAACCTGAAGGCACACACTTCATGCTCTTAGGCAATTGCTGGGTAATGACCAAGTTATCATGAGTCTATTGAAGAGGAAGCTAACAAAGGATGTGAATACGTAAACACATATTCCCTTGAATCCCTTACTGCCATCAGAATGTGACGTTGGAGAAGACTCTGATGTTAGTAAGTGCGTGGCTGGCCAACTTGCACTTAATTAATGAGTATTTCCTAAGGAATCTTAAGGGATGTGTGTATAGTGTGTATACGTGGAATTTCCAAGAATTGTGGTTAAATGGTCAAAATCATCTACTTAGATTAAATTTAATTCACTCTACAAGTGTTTACTGCCTACTATGGTCCTGGAGTGGCACTGTGGGTAAATGTGCCAAACTGCAAAGCCAATTGAACTGCAAGGTTGGCAGTTCAAGCTCACCAGCATCTCCTTGGAAACCCTATACAGGATCGCTATGGGTCAGAACCACCTTGATGGCACTTAACAACAACAACATAATCCAAGGAGGATACAGAACTCCACAGTAGATATGAAGGGGCCTCAAAAAAGTTTGTAGATAAATGAAATAGAAAGATAATGGATCTGCGAGGTCCCCTCATTGCTTTTTAAATTTTTGAGTACTCTCAAAAGATTAATTCAAAGAAAGACTAGTATAGAAAAGTCCCCTCCCCGCCCCCCCAAGAATCAGTGGTGTGATGGAGAATTAAACAACTACATATTTTATTTGTTGTCATAACAGAATGAATAATATTGAAAAGAATTATATTGGTTATAGTTCAGTCTCACTCATCTTCCAACTTGTTGGCTTCCCCAGTAGGATTATTTGCCCTGAAATGGGGAGAGGGAGAGAACTGGGAGAGACTGTCTTCCCATTGGACCCAGTGACTTCCCACCTGTGAGGTGTGGAGCACAGGTGCCCTTCTTCACAATGAGCTTTCCACGCAGGTGAAAACATGGCCAACTCCCAAGAGTGTGACTATAAAGAGGAAATCTTTACCCATTTCCTCAAGTGATTCTGAACTATGCCAGGGTTATAAACACTGTTCTAAGTGTTTGATGTGAGCTAAGCCATTGGAAACATTAAAAAGAAACATCAATTCAAAGAGATTTGTTGTTGTTGTTGTTGTTAGATGCCATCAAGTTGGTACCCACTCACAGCGACCCTCTGCATGACAGAATGAAGCAGTGCCCAGTCCTGCACCAACCTAACAATCATTGCTCTACCTGAGCTCATTGCTGCTGCCACTGTGCCAATCCATCTC